TTTCCTCGGCCTCGGTCAGCGCTAACTATAGTCAACTAAGCGTGCTTTCTTTTTTTATTATTATCAAGATTCTAATATAGTACTTTATACCAAGGTAGAGAGAGAAAGAAAGAATATGTGCAAACTACACCCTCGACAGTCTAATAAATAGTTTTAATACTGCCGATTAATTATATATTTCAATTAGTCGACTCTTTTCTTTCCGGTTCCAGCTGCGGAAAACGACAAACAATGCTTTAAGCTAACTTCAGTTAATTCAATCGAGATCAAAAGTGTTGCTGCTAGACAAAAGACATTAGTTTTAGTCGTCGAAGCAAACCATGCGCTCCAAATGGCGCAACGTTAAATCGTGACGAACAAATGGCGCAATTAAGGTGGCTTCTTACCGTCACGCCATTGCGAAACGCATCCGTTTCTCTTCCGCAGCGCGAATTGCCCGTCGCCGGCTTTCTACGATCTAATCTTTTGTTCGATCATTATGTTTTCATGGTAATGGCATTAGATAAATTCGTAGTAACCGCGGCGTCCGAGAAGAGAAGTTGCCCGTCAAAGAAAGTTCGAGCGATACATCTTTAAAGTGGCGTCTACAATAAGATTTTAAGGTGCTGAACTTAAGTTTTAAGTCTTAAGCTGTAAGAAATTGATCAATCGATCAGTCGATCATTCTCACATTCGACTGTGATTGGCCAATTTCTTACGGCTTAAGGCTTAAATTTTACGCATTAAAATCTCATTCCAGACACCGTTTTAGATCGGAATTTTCTTTGAAGATCGGAGCCCTTTAGTTCGTTTTAAAATATAGATAAAATTATCACCAATTAAAGCCTGTATTATATTATACGCAATGGAAATTAAGGTTTGCGAATTGGAGATTAGAATAAAAATAAAAATGGTTTTATGATTTCAAGAATAGATCAAATGTAAGTAAAAATGCCTATCTGAACTGCACTGCGGTTGTTGGTGCGTAAATATGGCTTGTATTCAGAACTTTGCTTTTATCGATAAATACGCGCTTTTATGTTTGAAATTCTATACAGCATACGTAACGTGAACTATATTCTAAATACGCGCTAACATTGTAAAAGCGCGTTCTAAATACGGGTCAGTATATTTATAAGACGATAAGATAACTCACAAACATTTGGAATGTACTTATCAGCGAAGTTAACTGCAAACGTTTCAATTTTGAATTTGAATCCTCCTCAGTGCGGAAGCAAAGTACAAACTACGTGTTCAAATCCAGAGTTATAGAAACGTTTGCGGTTCATTGATAAGTACATTCCGATTGTTTGCGAATTATATCTTATCGCCTTAATATATTATTTACGCACCAATAACTGCGGCTTATATAAGCATTTTACTTATATTTAGAGATTAGAATTCGACCAGTGAAATAATTTCTATTTCAATCTGTTTTGTTTTGATTGACTGAATTCTAATCCCCAATTTGCAATCCTCAATCTTCAATGCATAGTGTAATACAGGTTTAACATTTATGCTCGTTCGCTAACATAATTTGTAATTCAATATTGGTTGATTTACAGTCTTTGGAAATCAATCGGTACAAGCATATTCAACGGTATCGAAAGTTCTCCTGTATTAAATTCCTCAATGTAGAAAATGGCTATTAACATGGAATTTATGTGTATCCATCCGTATTCCCTAATGATTTACAATCAGATTATTTCCCAATAATCCTTTGATCTGATAATTGCATCGGGACGCATTTCTGTTCGATGCGACTTTTAATTTTTCTCTCTGTAAGCGCATTCCATACATGGCTAATCTTGATTCCGTAATATTTATAGCTCTATCATACATTATCGTTCCACTGATAATTTACGGTATCATCTCCCAGCAATAATTCACGAAGCTATTAATCGTGGACAATCTCATTTATTCTCGTACCCTTACAAAACTTTTCCGTATTTTTTAGATCCGAAAGTAGGCAGGTAATAAAGAACATCGCGTATAACGTGACGCAAATAAAAAATTTGCTGATGTTCTATTTAATATGATAATGCACTCTCGGATATTAAGGTCGAGCGAAGTAATTAAAATCGTTAAGTAAATAGAGCGACGTAATGATCATCCGATGGTAAATTTAACAATTATTATAAAATCGTAAAAAATATGACAAATATTTAAGTAAAAATTATTATAAAAAATCATTACAATCATTCACATTGAAACTTGAAAAATTATAAAACTTATAAAATTAAGAAAATTCGTCTAACGATTATATTGTAAATGTTATCTAAGAGCTATTAATTTCATTTCAAATTAATGAATTTTCCTAATTTTATAATTTTTAAATGACAATGTTAATAACTACAGTGATTTTACGTAATGAATATAAAATCAATATTAGATCAATATTTGTTTTTTAACAATTATAAAATCGAAAAAAGTGGGACAAATATTTATTTAATAGTCATTACATAAAATCATTATGCTAATTAACATCGTTATTTAAAACTTATAAAATTAGGAAAATTCGTCTAAAAAGATAAAAATTTGATATTAATAATAATCTTATATATTATATTGTAATATTATCTAGCAATTCTATTTCAAATTTATATAAGATATATAGTATAATAAATTTATACGCGATATAAGTTTACACTGAAATTAAATAATATTAAAGTCAACCACTCAAAGTATAAATGAGATTCGAAGTCACTGACGAAATATACAGGAATTGCAATATACAGGAAAAAAACCGCCAAGGAAAACGAACGCCTTTAATGTCTTCGATTATACGACAAGCTGTCGAAACGTCGGAAACCACAAGGGTCTGGAAACCGATGCGGTAAATTCCTGATACTTGATATAAAAGGCAACATCAACATGTTTCACCTTTAGAGACAGGGAAAAGAGGACCAAAACATTTTCCATCCAATCTAGAATGCTAGAATGTATTTTAATGTGATATTATTGGTACTTACTTTATGTATGTTATTGGTACATCATTATTATCAAACAATAACAAGAGAAACGATTAAAGGACAAAAATCAGTTGAACGCCTTTCATGTGGAGAAATAATGATGGGAATATATTTCAGCAATCGCTCTCAGCGCGTTTCTTCATAATTCACCTCAAAAGAGCTCGGACTCGAGTCGTTTCCCCACGCATCAAAGAGATAATCCGCACAGATGAAATTCGACACGGTGAATGGGGAAACTTTAATCGAAGTGATATCGAAGTATAAAAGAAAGGGACGTACATCGATCTCGATGATAAAGCTAAAAATCCCACTATAATAATATATCGAGTCTCGTAACAATCTATCTTCTGTCGAACGAATTTTTTTTATCTCCTCTTAGCCTTTTATCTCAACTCTGTATCTCCTGAGACTTTTTCCAAGCAATTTCCCGCGTGTTATATTTATGAATAGACGACGTACATCCCACCGAGTGCATTGAGCGTGTCCGAGAAATTTGCGTTGACGAATCAACCCGGAAGTGGCGGCGCGAGACAAGTGAGTCATTCTAATCATCGCAGTACACTGACAAAAACGTCTGGTTGAAAATAGACGAATCATTAGAGTCTGATATCAATCAGAATAAATAATTATCTTACTCTCTAAAGAGTGAAATCTCACTCTTAGAGAATGAAAATTAAGCCTCTTCTTCAAGATTGGCTCAATTTTCACTTTTTAGAGTGAGATTCCACTCCAAAGAATTTAGGCAGTAATTAGAATTTAATAAATTTAACTAGAAAATTTTGATTCGTTAATTTTTAATTAAAATTTCGATAAACCTACCAAATATTTCTCTCATTGTAGTACATCTAATATAGCATATCGTTTTAATAATATTGCAGTAACATTGGACACGGTTGTTACCGTGGACACGTTGTACCGCAATGTTACCGCAAGCTCTTATGCTGTACGGAAAATAATCACTGAGAGAAAAATATGATTGCAATTACAATAATTTAACTATTATTTAAATAGCCATTTTTGGGACAACTATAATATTTATAATTATTCCAGCCATGAAAATATAATCAATTGTGCTATTAAATATTGTTGTACACATTGCTAAAAAATTTTCAGTTTTTTCTTAACATATTTTTTAGTTATTATTACCGCATAAATAGTTACATTCAATATAATTACGATTGCACTTACTAAAAAAAATGTTAATTTTATTTACCATAATTTTTATCGTGATATTTTTACTATATTAATATTTGAAATTATCATAAGTTGCAGTACAATTTTTTCACGTTTGAGAGAACCATAAAAATGGAGCTCTTAACCGTGGTGTGTGTGTAATTATTTCATACAGTACAATTATAATCACAAATACCAAACATTTTTCTCTCAGTAATCTCTCCGTAGCAAAGAGTCAATTTCGGAGTCGTATCTTGCGAAGTCGCAAAAAATACGACGGAGTTCACATAAATTATAGATTTGTTCTTTCCAGCTAAGTTTCTTGCACGATTCAGCTTTTCTCTTTTTTTCCTTCACGTCAGAATAAAAAAGAGGAAAAGACAGATGCAAGAAGTTCAGCTAATGTCTGTTTCTACCAATGTAGATTAACTTTAATCTCTCTTTATTTAATTTACTCTTTATCCTTTTCTAAATCTTAAAACTAGAAAAAAAAATAAAAAAAAGTAAATTAAACTAGGATTAAAGTTAACCTACATTGGTAAGAAACGGAAATAAAAAAAGAAACAGGTCTCATTTAAATTCATTCGCTGCAACTCTTTTCTTATAAAAATAAGACTATCGCATATTCGCTTATCGAACGCGGAAATTCTCGGAAACGTGGAATTGCGCGCGCGGATGAATTCTAATTTCAATTTCAATAATGCTGCACCAGCGCTTCGCATTTAATAAAAGGTAATACGCGCTATTATTCCGCGCGATCGCAAATTGAGAATGGCCGAGAGTGGGCTGGGAAAAGACGAGCCTCCGTTCGCGCGATTTCGCACGCAACGGCGCGCGACGATCCGGTCAATTTGAATTTGTCGCGCACATACTAACCTCTGCCGATGCTGTGGGCCGCGGGAGCGCGACCCGACTTGCGAACGGAATGAAATTTCTCCACGGGCGGGAGCCGCCGCGGTCGCCGTCGGTCTCCGTCGTCGTCCTCGGGATCGGAGGTGCTTCCGTGTTTCACCGATTTGCGCGGCAACGCGCGGTACAGAACAGAAAGAAAAGATCACGCACAATCAGCACGGTTCGCGAGGCGCGGGAGTACTGCGTCAATCGCGACGGCGCTCAACAACGATGAACAACCGTCGCGCTGCACAGTCGAGCAACGTCTGCGGTGGTAATACGCGCGAATCTAGTCGCGAACCCGGTTGCCATAGCACCGAGCCGCGCGATTGGCGGAGAAGCGCCAAGGGCGGTGCTAACGCGAATTGCACCTATTGCACTCCTGCAAAATGAAATTCTCGACGTCACGAATATGAGCGATGAAAATGGCGTTTGTCGAAAATAAAAGCTTTCTCAGAAGGGCTCACTTTCTTTTACGATTAGTAAATTGACGTCTTTATAAAGTATCGTTTGTTTATATACACTTGTTATTTGTATTCACAACACCTAGTTTTCCTGCACCTTTTTGACACTCTTTATTACGCATGAAGTTGTATGTAAATCGGAGCGAAGCGCGTATTTCGTATTTAAATAATTGCGACATGACTATACGTCATTTAATAATTTAATTAGTTATTGATATCACTATTGTATAGTTTTATTAACAAATTTAACATTAATTTCTTATACATTAATAATAATATATATGGCTAATAAAAAATGAAAAAAAATTAATAAAAATATAAATGCGAAAAGAATATTTAAAGATTGTGTATATTATATTTCTCGTACAGCAAGTATATTTTTGTTCATATTTCACACAACTTGACTTTTTTTTATTAAATAAAAATGCTATTTAAATGTTATATGTTTGGAGAGATCGGAAGCCATCCAGGGAAAGAAGAAGAAATGTTATATATATTCGTTATAAATATTTACTAAATTTTAATTTTCGAATGTAATTTTATGCAAAGAATATGTTAATTATATCAATTTATGGTAAGCAATTAGAAAATATATAATAGAGACAACATAATATGGGATCGTCATTTCCCTGAACTGAATAAATATTAATAGGATTATTAATAACATTTAAATATCCGGAATAAATAAACACAAATTACAAAGAGTAAGCTAAATCGTTTTTATTAATATTCCTTTTCTATCAATGTAACTATATATAATATCTATGTTTTAATACATATATTTTACATATATGTACTTATAACAAGCATTCAACAAACAGCCCTAAATAATATACAAAACGAAACATTCCTGTCCATATGGTGATTATTGTTGCATTATTAATTGACATCTTTAGAATGCGAATTTTAGCACAGAGAATGCGATGAAATGCGAACGAGAGTTACGATCGAATGTGAGTGTCCGATCTGACATAATAAGTACTGTGCGTTTCTGATATGATTATTAGTCCCTCGAATGTTTATGCACCGAAGTCATTCACTCCGCCACTTTTTATGAATCCGTTGTAGATGCTCGTAAGCTCGTTGAGAAATGTTAAGTTCGGGGTTTATCGAACACAAACCAGGCTGTCTCAAAAGACTTAAGCCACACAAACCTGTTAAAGAAGTCATATACGTGTACTTGCGTTAAGACGTGTAAATTTAAATTTTTAGTGTAAATTTAAAATTTAAGACGTGTAGATCTCACATTTACCTAAATATGTATGTAAAGGATCCGGCCGAGTATTGTCAAATTTGGCCAATCCTCCAACGAGAGTGTCTTGTGTGTTAAGGATAAACGTTTTGTTTTCTTCAGCGTCTGAAAAATTGAGGAACTCCAGCAGCTCGAGCGTAGCACCAACCCAGAAACTATAACACGTGTCGGACGGTTTTCCAGGCCTTCCATTAAATCCACCATCCTGTCTCATAAGGCACCAACGCTTTAACCGAGCTAAACGATCCCGTGTCAATACTTCCAGTATGTTAATATGTTCTCTCATCAGAAACAAACTCGCTACGGCACAGAACGTGGAGCCTCCATGAGATTCAAGACCTGGTCCTTGCCCAATACCGCCGTCATACGACTGTAATTATTATAATGTGATACATCTGTTATATAGCAACTAGCAAAAAGGAAGGTAAAGATAATAATGTCTATAAATCAATATCAATGAATAATAATATAATGATAGATAAAAATAAGTAACAATAATAATAATAATTTAAGTGAAAGCTTACAATGCTTCGTAAAATATAGTCAATAGCTCTTGGGATATCCACACCTGACCAATCATCTAAAATTGCAGAAACACAAGAGGCACAATAGAGGAATCTCATGTCGCTCTCACATCCCGTAACCATGGCCGTGAAAGATCCGTCGGGATTCTGACAGGCTCGGACCCCCTCGATAATGGATTGTCTATCAACTCTACTGAGATCGTCGTTAAGAATCAAAAGGGTTACCAAGCTAGTGTAAGTCATCGCTAAATGACCATATTGATACTCGGGTACATCCTTCGGTATCGTTGTAGACGACTGAAAGCCGGAACGCGGACCGGCTCTTTCGACCTGGAGCCCATAAATCCAGTCGATCGCCTCAGACTTGGCCTGCTCGCCGATCTCATCCAGTGAGTTCAGTAGATCCAGACCAGAGAATGCAAAGTACGCTATCATTGGTCTGGTAGAGTCGAAATCTGTCAGGTTGCTAGGCATGATGTGTAGTAACCTTAGGAAATACTTGACGTGCTTCTCTCGCACTAGTCGCGGCGTCATGATGAGATCTCGATGTAGTTGATTAAAACCTTAGTCTAAACCGACACGCGGCACGCCTCAAGAAACGCGGTAACCTGTCGTTGTCGTTGTGCGAACTTGATGACAAATCATATATGTAATTCCTGTCAGTTGACACGCCTCTCGTTTCCTGTCCCCGCTCGTCAGAACTCCCGGAAATGCGCCGATGCATCGTGAATCTTCACGCCTGGGCGATACATGTCATCCGCTTCCTTTACACGCCGTAGTCAGATTGACGACAGAAAAAGTGCGTTACAATCGTCGTGTAAACAAGCGTAAACAGGCGTAAATGAACTCCAGAATCAGGGAGTAGCCTGACCGACGTGTCCACATTTTAAATGGTATCCATCTGCTGGCGCCTCTGTGCATAAAACGTGTACCATGACTATGTAATCGGATATTTCCGGCAGGTAACGTCCACAATCTTTGATTCTGTTCCGTGCTATGTTCATAAAATGTAATTGCCTAGGTCTGTTTTTTTTTTTTAAAGAAAATTCTGAAGTAATATACATTAAGCAATAAATTGGAGTAAAATAAATGGTTTATCTCACTAACTTATTGCATCAATGTACACCAATTAAAAAACTTTTTTGAAAAAAATGGGTCTAAAAACGATGATTAAAAATTGATATAATGTAATATTATTGATACAATGACTTAGTTCAGACTTCTCCCTGATCATCTCTGACAAAATTGAAGCAAAATTTATAATTACATAATTTCTAACTTATGCCCGTTTCTACCAAGAGATTTAAAAAATTTAGATTAATTTAATGTAAATTAATTTCATTCTTGATTTAACTTGTTATCTTTTTCGAATTATAAGAATTAAAAAAAGATAGAGCAAATTGAACCCAGATTATTCTACATTTTGGTAAAAATGGATATTAGAACTTTGACCAAACTCCGATTAACTTAATTAGCACTACTTTAGAAAATAAAACTATTAAATTAATATTAATAGAATTATGTTTAATTCTATTAATATATCGAGAAAACATTAAGAAATGTATAGAAATTTTATCTTTTAATTCTGCCGGTCGAATTAATCGCAGATTAAATTAAACGGAGTTTGATCAAGGTGAACCTAAATAAAGATTGAAAACTGACACAATAGAAAAAGGAAGACATCCCAATATCTTTTTTTCACAGGAAGTTGACAAGGAATATCATAAAAAAAAAGATGAAAGATCAAAATAAAATGAATATGAATACTTTCTATAACATTTCCTTGCATATATTTGTACATATATATCTCTATATATATATATATATATATGTATGACAATCAACATTGACACATTACTCTATACTTTGTAATAAAAAAATAGAAAGGGAAACTTATTATATAAATGTTAATTACAAACTCTGTTACACATTTCTGGACATTGCAACATCAGGTAGATAAACTACAGATCTATAGTGGCAACGATTATCAAGGGAAACCTCTAATATTTCTCCCTATTACTTTGTATCAATAATAATAATAATAATAATACAATTGCTGCATTTAGAAATGTATGGTCTGACGACTCGAGTTCAACGCGACGGTGGTCTTTAATAAATAAAATTTTCTTAAATATAACTTCGCGATGTAACACGCGCGCGCATCTCTCTACTATTAAATAATATCAAATAAATATCTGAAACCAGCGGCACACGATGCATGTTTTCTTGATGAATTGTTCACGTTCTAGTAGATTACTAGAATTGCACCACACAGAATGCATAATTTCTAATAATTTACTAAAATGAAAGCAATTAAACAAGAAAACATACATCATGCCGCTGGCTTAAGGGGATCTTAAACTGAAGGCCGAATTTCGACAACATCGTTTACCGATAAAATGCGACACATCGACACATTTTTATATACTACTACATCAATGTCGCACACACATACACATACACACACACATACATAAATTTTCATAGAACGATAGTGTATAGAATTAGATATCTAATACCCGTTTCTACCAGTGTAGATTAACTTTATTCTCAGTTCAATTTATTCTTCATCTTTTTCTAATTCTTAAAACTAGAAGTCTAAAAATTCGACGTTATTTCTTTATGTAATCTACTAATAGTCTGTAGGCTTCAATTTCGTAAATACAGATTGCAGAACTTTTATATCAAATAAATGTTGTCTCGACAGCTCTAGACGCTATTTAGCACTAAAAATGGGAAAAAAAATATCAATTTCAAACTTATTATCGATATAAATTCCATACATATCAATATTTTTTAATTCTGGAGAAGGATTTCCAAAATCTGTAAAAGTAATATATGCGATATCGTTCTATGAAAATTATTACGTTCAATCATAAAATTATTGCGGTAAAACAGACGACTTTAGGATCCCCTTAATGGAATGTGGACGTAACATCGACGAGGAATGCTAGTTATCTTTCTAACAGTCAATAATTCGCTAATAGAACTTTCAGGCAATAAATAACCGTGTGCAATTACGTTATCAGGTAACGAGTCATTAGCGTCCTAGAGAGATCAAATCGTTATGGCAGAAAATCGGGAGGCATGTCGCTTGGCAGCGTGACGCCGAGTCTGGTTGTCATGCAAGACGCAACTTTGCATCCTAATTCTAGGCAACTCTTCGGATCCCAGTGGGCCAAGACGCCGGCTAGGAAGCCAGCCACCAGGGCATCGCCGGCGCCTGTTGTGTCCACAATAGGTGTCTTAGGCACAATGGGCTGCACCTGAATGTAACAAATATACGAAAGAATTGAACTTTCGACGCCAGTCTCTTTCGATTGTTTTTATTTGTTCTCTTGATCGAAACAAACCTGAACGGATTGTCCTCTGCCCCATACGATAATCGCTGGCGCACATCCACCACGCGTCATGATGAATATACCATCGTCGGCCAACCAGTCCTTACTATTTGCGCTAGAAACGTCCATCGTAATTCTTTTTAAGCTATTCAATAGAAAAGGTATATCAGCAACGTCGTCGTATTTCACGTTCAATGCCTGAGCTAGCGCGATCATTTCCCTCGCGTTGCCAAATACGATCTTAGCGTGACCGACCATTTCGCAAATGGCCGCTTGATGATCCTTCAAAAGCATTAAAAAAACTCAAGTAAACAAATAATTTATATTATTAAATAAAAAACAAATATAATATTTGTTATATTTCAATTCACATAAAAAAATCAATAATTAAATTAATTGGTATTAATTTGATACAAGCCTCATATGTTATGCTGATTATATTGTTATTTAATATTAATAATATTTTATATCTCTCTCACATACCTGGAATATATAAAAAGAATTAAGATTGAACGCTACAATAATATTCTTCTCCTGCGCCCGCTTAACCAGTTCTTTAGCCACATCTAAACTGTGCGTTACGAAATAGCCTTCGATGTAAATTATTTTAATATTATCTAATTGCAAATTGGCCTTTTTAAGATCATCCAACGTATATACACCAGCTGCGCCAAGATTAGCGACAAGACTGCGGGACGTTTCATACACAAGAGAAACGCATAATCCGGTAGGCAAAGTCGGATGTACGGCGTATCTAATAAAACAATTATAATATTATACAATTGTAGATTTGTTATATTTATTATGTAAAATACTTAATAATGCTTCTTACGTATATTACCAACCTTGCGTCCACTCCTGCAAGTCGAACTAATTTTTCTAAGATCGAACCTCTTTGATCATTTCCGAGACCTCCACAGAAGATACTAATTTGGGACTCATGGGTCTCGTCACAGAGCCACTGCAAGATTCTCAATGTATTCTGCGCAGATCCTCCGGGATTTGTATATTGTTCTATCCTGTATAACATATAAATAATATATAAATTTTTCATACTTAATAAAAATTGAATATATGTTTGTATATAGAATAGCTACTAAGTATTTTAAAAGATTTTAAGATGTGATCTTAAGGGGTGATTCCTCACAAATTCAAAACAAAAACTTAATACTATATATCTGAGCTTAGTTTCAAAGATACAGGATGTCAAAATTTAAAAAAAATCGTTTTCTAAAAATTTTGAAAACCACTCAAATTATTTAAATGAAACTTTGTATATGTTTAAAGTTTCATCAAAATAACTCAATTCCCGAAATTTCAAAAAAATAAAATTTTTCCTTCAATTTTAACATTCTGTATTTTTTTTTTTCGTTTTAAATGTGTGTGAGGAATCACTCCTTAAAATTTTTCAGAGTACTTAGTAGCCATCCTGTATATATATATTTTTTATAAATTGTACATACAAATAAAAGCTTAAAGAAACATTGATGCTTGCAACTGTATGGAAACTTTCCAACAACAAACATATCGACACAAGAATTATTCTGTCTTTGTTTCTTATTAAATATTGAAAGAGAATGATTTCTATATCGATGTGTCTGCTGCTGGAAAAAGCTCTATATATAGTTTTTCACATTACATGATTAATATAGACATACATAAATGTAAATCTGTTAAATTGTGCTTGTTCACCATTATAAACAAATACTACATATACTTTAACTCCAGTATTTTGTTAAAATAATTTTTTGAATGAAAACATAAAAGTATATATATATATATCCTGATTAAACGTATTCTGGACATACATGACAACAAATTGAAATTAAAATGTTACCAAAAATTAAAATTTATATACAGTGCAAACATCTGTGTTCTAATAAATGTATTTATTAACTCTGGTGGCAAATCCGTAATTAACTCTTGCAGCTTCTTCTCGCACAACTCTGTTTCGCCGTCTATCTTAAGATTGTACTTCTTAATCAGCTCATCATTCTTCAGTATCACAAGAATATCCAGCAGAGGATTGCCAAAGGCTATGATCGCTGGAAAGTCCAATCGAGCGATGGTCTTCCGCAGTGGGATCTTCTCCACCATCTTTTGTATCAAACAGCGAGTTTCAAATGTAGCTTCCAACATGGCATGTCAAGATACAAAACATTAATGAGTAAATGGAAGCTAATCTTATAAAAATGAAAACACACATGTCAATCGATAGTAAACTACTTACAAGGTCGGCAGAATATTTCGAATCATCCTAATTTGCTGAATAATTAGAGAATAATTATAGCTACACGGAAATTAGGAAAGCACAGACCGTCATCGCGAGGAACACACTAATAAAGTTATCGCCGAATTGAACAAGATACAAAGCGCTAAAATTGTGAGCTATAAAAGACAACCGAGTGGACGATCGCTCCGCCTGAAATATTCTCTCTTCCTCGTGACAATACGTCGAAAACAATCGCGCAACTTAAACGTGCACATCGATCTTGCTCCATTCATTTCGGCAGTCACATTGCGCCTTGTCCGTTAGCAACTTACTCTACCGTGTATGTCACATTTCTCACCATAACCTAAATTATTCCCGTACACAGAAAGAAACTTGAGAATGGCCATCCTCTGGCCTTTTTCATGACACGCTTGAGGAGCAATGAGGGGCTGCAATCAAGAACAGAGAATAAAGCTGATGCACAATTGTAAAACACAGCCATTAGAAACGGAGAATAACAGATTTTAACCTATCAGAAATCGTGTTTATCAGAATATACGGTTTCTGATAGGTTGAAATCTGTTATTCCTAGTTTCTATTACCTATGTATTTTAAGCGTCGTCTACAATATGCGAAGTAAGCTTGGTTTAAGAAGTAAGAGTAAGAAATTGACCAATCACAGTCGAATATGAGAAGAATAATCGACTGTGATTGGTCAATTTCTTACTCTTACTTGTAGTATACATTGGGTGCATTCAGTGGGTGCATTCAGTACTACAACCGCTCACTGAGCGCTTAGTGAGCGCTTGCATCTAATGCTTGGTTTATGCTTCGGTCTTAATTCTAAAATCTTAAAATTCAGCCAATAGAGCTGCCAGTCTTAATTGATCCTAACGGAAATCTGTATTTCATTGGCTGAATTTTAGGATTTTAGGGTTAAGACCGAAGCATAAATCAGGCATTATTGGTATATTCCGTTAGAACTAAAAATATAGACCAAACAGATACAAGAGCTCACTGAGCGCTCAGTGAGCGGTCGTGGTACTGAATGCACCCAGTGT